ATATATATATATAATATATCCTAATGATAGATTAAAAATTTGTATTTGTAATAAAATAACTATGTACAATGTTTAAAGTTTATTGTAACGTACTTTTGGTTGTTGATGACCATAATACTCGTTCATTATTAATTTACAAAGGAATAGATGAAAAACAATGATAAGGAAACATATACTAATCCAAAATAGATTTGGCAAGCCACCGAGTTGATGGCCGTGTTTGTGTAAAGCCATTACGTGATGATCATGAGCTGGAGCTATAAATAAGAAATAAAAATTATTTAATACACCAGTTTTTTTTTGCATCATCTCATATAAACGCATAAATATTATATACGTACCATCATCTACAGCATGTACGTGTAAAGCATTTCTCAAATCTTGCATATGTTGATAGTCGGATGTAATATAAAGTATAGCAGTCAATGGTTTAGTTAACTTAACTGGAAAATTAGTATAAGTTTGACTCAAAGAAACCGGTGCATCTAAACAGCCTGCATCACATCCAAAATATACGCTATCACTTTTATCCAAAGCTACGCCCAATATGGCACGATTATCTTCTCCTACTGTTACCGATATATTTACATGGGTTACATTACCATAACTTATTCTCCTGGAAATATATATAATAATTAGAATATTTTTAAAATATAGCATCATATATGTTTAATAAACTTCATCGTACCTAAATAAGTAATCACGATGGAGGTATTGTGGGTCAATATTAAACTCCAAATGTTGATTGGTAAATCTTAAACCTCCAAGACTTAAAACAATAGCTTGTTGTACAGCGGAAGGACCTCCTACCATTAAATGATGACAACTTCGTTTTTCTAAAGTTAATAACCATGCGTCGACTATTTCATTTACAGCATCAATCGATGAAGTATCTTTCCATAATTTAGGAGCATCTCTGAAAAACATATATATTTAATTCAATTGTCTAATTATTTCTTTAAATGATGATATAGAAAAGAATATGTATTTTAATGATTTACAATGTGTGATGACCATGATAGCAACCCTCATTGGTTGCTATTTTTTTTTCTACATCTACAAGGCCTCGTGGTATTTGAGAAAGTATCAAATACATCGTTGAATTTATTTTATGACCATTAATAGCTCCAGCAGCTTTGGAGTCACTTATTCTAAAACCGGTTGACCAATAGCTTTGCCACATTTTTATGTGCTCTTCTTTCAAACCTTTTTGTTGCATTATTGCTTTCTTTAAGGTCTACATTAAATAAAACAAATATATAAATTCAATTGCATATGAACAATATAAAAATTTAGTGTAACATTTAAAATACTCACATCTACGGCTTTCCTCTTAGTTACATCTCTTTCAATATGATATTGTTCAGATGAAACTGGTTCGCTGTATTGTATGCTTGTAAGAAATTCAAGTTTAATGGTACTCCTCGCTTTAACTTGTATAACTTTTGGTGGATCTTCATAAACTATCGATATCACAATAACCTTATTTGATTCAGATAGAGGAATAAATCCAGATATTAAATTATATTCATAAATGAGCCCATTCATTTGTATTCTAAACACAGTATATAATCATTGTAGCTAACGATTACAATTAAACAAAACTTATACAAGTCAATAATAATACTCACTTAATAGTTTCTAATTTTGAATTAGTCCAATGAGCAGCAGTTAGCGGCTTTAATGTTATCTCTTGAGAAAGCGATGTAGGATTAACAATTTTTATATCTTGCACTAATATGGTATCTAAAACTCGATGAGCATAATATTGAAAGCTCAAATAATAACCTTCTCTGAGACATTGAAACTTATGAACAATTCCATTGGTGAAATGAGTTATTGTAGCTTCGCTATAAAAATTATTCTCATACAGAGAATGAGTGATCAATGGTTGCCATTGTATCGGTAATAATAAAGCTCTACCGCGTTTAATATACATCCAGCCCTTGGGCACAACAGGTACACCAAATACACCATTGCCAATATATGGCAAATATTGTGGTTCATTTTCCAAAGGTGGATCATGAAGTATATTTACATTATATTCCGCTGCATCTAAATGAAAAGTAGCCAGTCTTTCTGTCATACAACTTTGCTCTAATGCTACAAGGAAACAAATAATTCATTTAAAAATAATATTAACATTATTATCCTTTAATTTATAACAATTACCTTCTATTGGTTCTCTGGCTGTAGAAAAAAGCCATTGTGCAAATTGTGGCCCAAAATATAGTAATACCCCACCACAAATAAGAATGAAAAGTAATAGTTTACGATAAGAGTAATTAACATCTATCAAACGACGTATACGTTTTCCAAATTCACGAGCATCTAACATGCCACCTGTTCTCATCGTAAAAACGATGATCCTTACAAATTATAGACGTTTTAATCAAACTCCTTGAAAACATAACCTTCGAATAATCTGATTTTTATTAATACCGAATAGAATTGATCATTAATCTGACATTATCATTTGATTATTAATATTTAATTTTAAAAAAGATTCGATTTTTAATTAATAATTTGTTAATGCACTTGTCCGTGTATTTCGTAATAACATTATACGTATATCCTGTAATAAGTAAACAATAAAAAAAGATTACAGCAACATCTGTGAAATCTGTGACGTAAGATCGTTTACTGCCGACTTCATGTTATTTGACACGGTTATATCGAATTATCGAATTACTAATCGAAATAACTCGAATATTTGGAATAAACCAATCAGAAAACGTTCGCTCTTTTAGCCTTTCGTTGATTGGTTAATTTCAAATATTCGATATATATTCGAGATAATTTTGAAAACAAGATAACATTAATTATAAGAATCATGTTTGATACATTTTAATACAACATAACGTATGTTTAAATAAATAAATATACGTTATTTATATGAAAACTATCATTAATATTAATCTGTAATGTTTTTAAACGTATTTTAATAACACGCACTGTGCTATAATATTTTATTATTACAATAATATTTGTTTATAAAATGAAGTATTTATTGTTTGAATATTTATTTATAATAAAATATCATAATTTACTTTATATATACTCGGATTTCTAACGAGAAGGACGGTAACTATCATGGTTCCCGCGGCACTTCCCGCACATCCTCTTGTCATTTGGGATACTCCCCTCCATCCTACCTAATACCTAATATTAATAGTAAAACGGATCTACTCGGAAAGTGTGAAATTAACATTGATTAGAAATGAATTTTATGAATAATCATTCCATTCATCTATAATTCATCGTCATTAATTTATTTTTATTGTTCGATCTATCGCTCAAAAATAAAAACAAAAAGATTTACATATTGCTTGTTTCAACATTATTAAAAAAAAAAGTAACAAAAAAAAAAATAAAAAAAATAGATTAAAAAACAAAGTATTTACACACAAATAACACGAAATTTTAAAACGAAATCATTACAGAGGAGAATTGTATATTTCATTTCGCGTTTCTTTTCTTCAAAACTATCATTATCTTTTGTAACAAATATCATTGAAAATGAAATATAAAAATAAAATATATTTTTATGTTTATATATATACAAAAATGAAATCTTAAAATATTTTCGTATAATTTTTTGAAATGTACATGTGTATACAGTATTAAACTTTACCAATCTATACGATGGACTGTACCGAGAACGGATGCAGGGATAGATCGGTGTCACGTGGACCCTCCGGATATACCAGCTTCCTAGTCTTGCTCGCCTACTTTATCATTATTTCGTTTCATCGGAAATGTTCCGATACTGGTAAGGACGTCCGTATACTTTTCTCCTTCCGACTTTTTAAATCTCTCACCTGTAAACATTTTCCTTTCTTTTTTCTTTTTTAATTTAAATCTCAACGACCAAAATTCAATTACCACACAATTCAACACTCCATATATATTAAATCTCGAACGTCGTATTAATTTCATATAAATTATTTGAAAAAAAAAGAACACAAAATTCTTTTAAATATATTTAAAAAGAAAAGAAAACAAAATATATTTTTATTAAAGAACTTTCCTCCGTTTGGTTTTCCTATTTTTTTCTTTTTTTTTTCTTTTAAATACAAGGGTGGGTAGAAAAGTATTGAGTATAGGATAAAAGAAAAGAAACTTTTAATTATTTTTTAAAATAAAAATAACAAATTTTAAACACTGTTCAATCAACATTCATGCGTAAAATTTATAATAAAAAAAAAATTATTCTTAAGAAGATTATATATTTTTTTTTTTTTTAATGAGTATGACTAATACACATTTATGGTAATAATAATTGTATTAAATGGGATGATACCAGAGACCGATCCACGTAGGAAGCGTCATTTTCCTGGTAACACACAAGCAGATATAGATCCGGATAGACTGATGGAAATTACTCACTCGCGGTAGTATCCCTAAACCTCCTGCCCTAAATCGGATCCGGATTCCACTCCCTACCATGAACATGAAGAATCAGTCAACTACGGAGCAACAACGCATGGTGGTGGATTGGTTCGTAAGCAAGGTCGTTTCCCGCGTTCTCGTTTCCATCGTTAAAAGTTCCTCCCCTTGGAGGAACCATTAACCCCTTCCCCATTCAGAAATCCCTTCGATCATGCTCACCCTCGAATTTGCCCATCTATATACGATTTGTTTTTTTATTACACTCGTATTTAATATATTTAATATTAACAATAATTATAATTATAGTTGGACGTAATATTAAGGGTATTGAAAAGATGATAATAATTGATATTATGTTATTTCTTGTCTTTGTGTGTTTATTTAAAATGATTTCAATTATTTTTATACTTATTGTAATCTTTTCTGTTTTGTTTCGTTTCTTTTTTTTTTTACTGAGTAGATAAAAAGGGAAAATATAAAACGAATTAATTGTTATAATTAATGATAATATAATAAATATTAAAATATATTATTATATAGAAAAATGATATTTATTTATATACTTATTGAAATTTCTTTCTTTTTTTCACAGGGTGGATAAAATGATATATTAAATAAAATATATAATAAAAAATAATAAATAATATTGCTAATAATAATTATTTTATTAAATTAGTATTTAGTATATATGTCTATTATCGTTGTATTATTTTTTATTTAAAATCATTTCCAAAAACTGTAATCTTTAATTTGTACTTTTTTAAAGGGTACATAAAATGGAGGGTTAAAAAAAGAAGAAGAAGAGAAGTAATGAAAATATTATTACGGAAGTATGAAAGTTCGAAAGGATGTTGTAAAATAGGAGGTACATATAAAAACGGATGGAGAAGCAAAGAGAGAGAGAGAGAGAGAGACACTTTTATGCTTATGGTTATGTATAGGCTATTGATACACGAAGTCATGAGGTGATAAAGGGAGCGCTTCGTACAAGTTAGCAGTGCCATGTCAACTTGATGATGATATACTGAATGCGAAACTTGCTGACTCCCTCTCTTTAATCTTTTTTTTTCTTCTTCTACTTTTCTCTTCTTCTGCCATAACTTATCTTTTCTTCATCTATTTCCTACGTATAATCGTTCGAGACGTTCTCCAAAAAAAAAGTAGGTTCTTTTTCAAAAAGTATATTTATAATCTATACAAATCACCCTAATAAAGAATTAATATTAATTATTTTATAATATCAATAAAATTTGCACTTTTTGATATTTAAATAAAAATTTAATTTGCCAAAAGATCTATTTCAATACTAATCATATTGATAAAGTTAAATTAATAAAAAAAAAAAAAACTATACGTTCTCATACAAAAGTGATGAAGAATATTAACAAAACATGAATTACTAAAAATATTTGAATATTTTTAAAAATTAAAAAACAATGGATAGAAGTAAGATGTAGGAAGTTATATGTTAACGATATAAGTCAAAGAAGATACCTTTATGGAGGTGGAAATAAATGCACGGAGATATAAGGGTGCGGGAGAAGGGATGAGAGGAAAGAATGTGGGGAGGGGAGGGAAGAGGGAGAGGGGGGTGAAAAAGGAAAAGGGGAATCTCTCTTGGTTTTCTATCACGCTGGCCGATTCCAGTCGGTGAGCCGGCGTGTACGAAAGCTCCCCAGCATCATCCACGTAGTCATCATCCACATATAGAAGAAAAAGAGTCTTCTTATCAGTTACTCTCTGACCGAACAACGTTAAACACCTTTCACAATCTCGTTAGTTCTACATAGAATTATAGAAAATAATAACAACAACAACAGCAATAATAACAATAACAAAAACAACAAACATTATGTGACAAAACATGGACCAACGATCTATCGATCTTCCTTAACAATTCATACTTGGATCATCGAAGAAAAACAAAACAAACTACTATTAAAAATCAGTGTATCAATTCACCTCGTGTTCGATTGATTCTCTAAAGTGAAGTGTTTATACTTTATGTTAAGATTTTCCTATTACTCCAAATTGGATCATCAAAACGGATTCTACTGTTTAGAACAACAACAACAACAACAACAACAACAACAACAACAACAACAACAATAACAACAATAACAATAACAACAACAACAACAACGACAACAAAAAGAGCTTAAAATCTTAAGTACGTGTAAGTTTAGAACCAAAAAACAAAAAAAGGGCATAAAATTTTGTCAACACGATATTATTCTTGTGAATCTCTCGTACGAATTATTTTATTCGTTGTATCTAGAAAAAAAAAACAAAAAAGAAACAAAAATAAACCTAGGAAATATGACTACAAAAAAGGTAGAAAGGTGAACACATTGATCACACGCGTAAGATTATCGATATAAAGTTAATATGTTGATACGAGAGATATAATTTTAATAAGTTTGGTGAATTTCAAATGTAAGAGATTTTTGATGATGGACGACGAAAAGAGGGGGTTGGATTGGATTGGATTGGGTTGTTATAGGGTGTTGGGTTCAGGGGGAAATTGTGTAAGGTAAGTCCAAATGACAAAGTAACGCATATACCGATGCAACAACATCGGACACGCGGAACAGCACATCCTCGGCTAATTAGAATATAGCTGTTTTTTATGAGCGTGGAAGAGGAAGAGGGAGCCAATGGATGAATACGGGGGGGTAGAGGGGAAAAGTGGGAAGAGAGAGAGGAAGGGGGGGCCACCCATGATCGTGATATTTATTACACGGACCCCCTGCCGGACATTAGTATTTAACTCTCTGCTTTCTATACTAGCGAATGTTGTTGGACGAGGCCTTCACCCTTCTTCGTTCAGGTGGTTGAAACACATGCCACAACCACCGTTCATAGAACATAAACCCTTTTTCTTTATATTTAAATATTATCTCGAAGTTTTAACGACAATAATAAGTCGATAATAATTTAGAAACCTTCCTCCCCCCCCCCAACCACAACTACCATCGTGCAATACATGAAATTTTCTCGTTGATAAAAAAATAATTTTCATTAAAAAGAAAAAAAAAACAAAAAAAAAGATTAAACGACACGTTTCTTTTTGTTAAATCATCGTTCAATGGATCTTACATACTTAATGAAGATTACCAATAGACTTTGTAAACTTCCGTTTAATCACATAAATCTCCCTAATCGAGTGAGACAGTCCAATGTCTTATTAAATGGCCGATAACGATTGAGGTACAATGCCAAGCGGTAGCGTAATTATCTAATAGAAGATAAGAAGGATTTAACTGTTGTTATACTATTTTAACTTTAAAATTCTTATGGTTAATGTTTTGACCGTGAATGTTGTTGGGTCATGAGTTTCCTTTTTTTTTGTGCTTCTTTCTTTTTCCTTTTCCTTTCCTTTTTTTTTTTCATTCCTTCTTTTCGTATTCATTCACCATGCGACCCAGTTACTTTCTGACACGTAAGAACAATTGGAGGTAACGTTTAACTATTCCGTTTTTCGCAAAAAGGGAAATCGATTTTTTCAAAGATAATCGTTTCATCTTTGGATCATCGTATTTCATCCGAAAAAGAAAAAAAATAGTTTCCTCTTTCCGTTAGAAATCATCTTTGTAATGGCAGGATTCGGGAAAACTATTCTTTTTTTTATTTTTTGTTTTTTTTTTTAATATCTCGATCCACAATAATCTTCAATTATTATTTCAAATTGATTCGTCATTATTTATTTAGGTACGGTGGTTATGTACGAGTATCAGAATCCTGCGTAAGAAGCACTACTTTCCTCAGGAGTAAGGAAGGGGTGAAAAAGTGGGGACTTGAAACGAAATAGGATCATTTTAGGAGGGAAATTATTATTATTATTTCATTATTCGCGTCATTTTAATCGTCAATTTGTCGTACGAAAAATGACGGAAACATCGAAGGAAACTGAAGTGCCTGATTCGGAGAATCCTGAAAATGCGAGCACGTCGTTGAATTTAACATGTGCTACTGGTAACAATGAAAAACCATTACCTGAACGTGGAACTTGGAGTACCAAATTGGATTTCATTCTTAGCGTGGTAAATACATGACTAATAATAATAATAATAACAATAATAATAATTGATTGTTTTAATAACACATTTATTAAAACAATTAATTTATAAAATATGATTATAAAATCATGTTTTATAAAAATGTTTTGTCTTTTTCTTATAAATTGTTGAATAAATGTTACGTTAAAATTTGTCATATATTTTTGTGTCTTCAAGGTTGGATTGGCCATTGGACTCGGCAACGTATGGCGTTTTCCTTATCTCTGTTATAAAAATGGAGGAGGTGCATTTTTGATCCCATATTTCTTAACATTGGTCCTAGCTGGTATACCAATGTTTTTCATGGAATTAGCACTTGGTCAAATGTTAACAGTCGGTGGTTTGGGTGTTTTTAAAATTGCTCCACTATTTAAAGGGATTGGTTATGCTGCTGCTGTTATGTCCTGTTGGATGAACGTTTATTATATTGTCATTCTTGCATGGGCGATATTTTATTTCTTTATGTCAATGCACAGTGGTAAGTTAAAGTATTTTATTCAACTTTTGTTTCTTTTTTTTTTGTATTTATTAACATCGTCGACGAAAACAATGTACTACTTCATTTTTTCACTATTTTGTTTTCTAAATTTCTACAGAATTACCTTGGGGTAGTTGTAACAATTATTGGAATACCAAATATTGTGTTAATCCTTACGATAGAAGCTCATTAGTTTGTTGGAATCAAGTTTATAGGAATCATAGTAGCATTAAAATGTGTACCGTCAATCAATTGAACGTCACCGTCAACGAACTCACAGATCCTGTCAAAGAATTTTGGGAGTGAGTAGATCTGACATCAAGAAAAAAAAAAAATTACTAAGATAATTTTATTTATTTTCAATATTTATCATAGACGTCGTGCATTGCAAATCAGTGAAGGAGTAGAGTACGTAGGTACCATACGTTGGGAATTAGCTGGTACTCTATTATTGGTATGGATTTTATGTTACTTTTGTATCTGGAAAGGTGTTAAATGGACTGGCAAGGTAGTTTACTTCACTTCGTTATTCCCTTACGTTTTACTTACGATTTTATTAATTCGCGGGATTACTTTGCCCGGTGCAATGGAGGGTATCAAATTTTACATCAGTCCGAATCTATCGAAATTAAGAGAATCCGAGGTAAGTAAGATTTGAAAAAAAAAAAAAAATAAGAAATTTTACCAAAATATATATAAGTATTATATATACAATTTGTTTTGTTTTTAAAGTTATTATTTTTTTTAATTTTTTTTTTAAATAATCAACAATCGATGTAATATAACAACAAATAATTTAACTTAGGTATGGATAGACGCGGTTACGCAAATATTCTTTTCCTATGGACTTGGTCTTGGTACATTGGTTGCTCTTGGTAGCTACAACAAATTTACCAACAACGTTTACAAGGATGCCTTGATCGTTTGCTCTGTAAATTCATCTACCAGCATGTTTGCTGGTTTCGTTATTTTCTCTGTAGTCGGTTTCATGGCACACGAACAACAAAAACCTGTTGCCGAGGTTGCCGCATCGGGACCAGGATTAGCTTTTCTAGCATATCCTTCGGCAGTTCTTCAATTACCTGGTGCACCACTTTGGTCCTGTCTTTTCTTCTTCATGTTACTTCTTATTGGTCTAGATTCGCAATTTTGTACAATGGAAGGATTCATCACTGCAATGGTATAACATTTTTTTTTCTCTTATATTTTTGTATTTTTTTATTTAAATAAATGTATAATATATATTTGTGCAAATTTTAATTAGGTGGACGAATGGCCACAATTGTTACGTCGACGTAAAGAAATTTTCATCGCAATAGTTTGCGCATTGTCTTATCTAATAGGACTTTCGTGTATTTCCCAAGGTGGAATGTACGTTTTTCAAATTCTCGATTCTTACGCGGTATCCGGTTTCTGTTTACTCTTTTTAATCTTCTTCGAATGCATCTCGATAAGTTGGGCATTCGGTGTTAATAGATTTTACGACGCATTAAGAGATATGATTGGTTATTATCCATTAATGTGGTGGAAATTTTGTTGGACCTTTACAACTCCAATGATATGTGTCGTTAGTATTTTTTTAACTTTATATTATCTTTTGTCTTTTTTTAAAACAAAATTCTTTGAAAAAAAAAAACTAATCTTACAATTAATGAAAATACAATTACATTAATGTTTCTTAATTAAATTAGGGAGTGTTTGTTTTCAATTTGGTGCAATGGACACCGGTTAAGTACTTGGATTATGAGTACCCTTGGTGGTCTCATGTATTGGGCTGGTTCACAGCATTATCGTCAATGCTTTGCATACCAGGATACATGTTATATGCATGGATGACAACACCTGGTGATAACAGTACCGTAAGTATAAATTAAAATACAAAATCATAAACTAAATGAATTATTTAACAGAAACGAGTACAGGTAACCTTTTTATAACACGTTAGATAAGTTCCTACAAAATACCGTGTTATATAAGACCCACAGTTCATTATTTTAAGATAAATTAATTTTATAAATATGTTAAACAAAATCATGGTATCAAGTGATATAAAAGTACAATCTGTTTTACAAAGGTTTTTTGCAATTTATGAATCGTATTATAGAAGGGCTACCTGTATATACAATGTATATTATAAACATGTGTTTTTTTTTCCTTTTTTTTCCTATTTTTCAGAAATATAAATTATTAATCCGAATAGAAGACGACGTAGCATCTTTGCGAACGAAAATGGGCCAACCATCGGTCGAATTAACACCACTTTAAAAAAAAAGTCTAGTCCCCATATTATATTTCTTTATTTTTTTTCCTCCTTTTATCCAATTATTACCTGGTATCAAAAGGATTGGATTATATTCTATCAACTTTAAGATACTATGAGAGGAGAAAGAACGCAACACTGCCGTTCTCGTAGATTTCAAAAAAAAAAACATAATAATAAGAAAACGAAGAAGAAGAATAATATAAAATTAAATTAAATTAAATTAAATTAAAATTAGAAATTAACACGTTCGAAACTCTTTGTTATACGCGTTAACGACATTTTTAATCGGCTTTAATTAATAATTAGCCGATCTTATAAATAACATGTCGATATCATCTCTCTTCTATTTCGCGATAGAAAACGTAAATAATATCTAATGATATTTAAATAGCTTTTATTTGCTACTAATATTACTATTATTACTATTATTATTATTATTATTATTATTATTATTATTATTATTATTATTTTTGACACGGTGAAAAACGAAGAAGAATTTAAAACTATGCTTCTATTTCTTATTAATCGTTGGCGTTATAAAACTCTTGTAAAAAGTCATGTAAACTGGTAAAGAGATAAAAAGAAAAGAAAGAAAAAAGAAAATAGGAGCGTGTGTTGTTATATCTTGTTGTGTAGGCATATGCCAACAAATATATATATATATATATTTGTATGCAAATATATATATATGCATACACGTACCTTTATATGCAATTTATTACACATGACAAGTTGTTTGTGTAATAATTGTTGCATTTAGTATGATCTTTAGGTTCGCGGTAGGTTTAGAAAAATCAATCTACATATAAAGAATTATATTATATTTAACGTATTTAAATATGGTAGGATTACGTAGATGTGTATGTTTAAAAAAGAAAAGAAAAATAATAATAATATATGCCAAAAATTAGATGGAATAGGACGCTTGTATGAGATTAAACGTAAAAAATGAGTAAAAAGAAAATGTAAAAAAGAAAAAAGAAAAAGGACATATCACACATCAAGACAAACGAGAGTTAATCTAATAATTTATTCGTTATTTGTTAATAACTATCTGGTTCTTCCATTTCGAATATTAACACCAATCGTCAACGTATTAATAAAATGAAAAAAAAAAGATAAAGAAAAAAAGAATAATAAGGTAGAAAAAGAAGATAAATCACGTTTGAATCATTATTTTTGATTGTTGAATTATAAATAATATAAATAATGCATGTGTATATACTTATATTATCTTTTAATCTTTCCGTTTGGTCCTCTTTCTCTACCTAAGATACCTAAGATAAAAGACATCGTACATTTTCCGAGACAACGCTTGAAATTTAATAAACACAACGATGTATTAGTCTAAATGTATGTTCACATGATTAAAGATATTATTTATATTATTATCATGAATAAATAATTAACATTTTAATAATTTTGTTTTATAATATACTACAAACTAACAGGAATAATATAAGTCCATGAAAGTTAATAAAAAAATACCTAATAGTTTGGAAGTATAAATGTACTAATCAATATACATATATAAATTAATTATATTATTATTTATTACGAAATACATTTAAACGTCACACTTGATTCAAAGTTTTTACCTTTTTTCTAATTTTCAATAGAAATCCAGATTTTCTGATGATTAAGATAGTATTCTCGTGTCACCAAAATGAAAGAAATGTAAGCGGAGAACATAATTATATAGGAAGTAGCACAAAAAATGTAAGTATCGTTATAACTCATTGATTGAATATTGCGTAAGTAATACCCAATGAAATTACAGGAAGTAGTACAAACAGTCGGTAAAATCATTAATTATCCGATGGTAACTTACCCTAAGAAATAATCTCTTGCACCATCTAGTGGCGGTGTTTATTACTAAGTATTATCGACAAACTGAACATGTTTCGCCACCTACCAGGAAAGATAAGTACTTGGAATATCCATTACTTTCTTACTGGTTTGTATTTACTTCGTCGGTAACATTTAGTAATAAACGTTGCTACTAGATGGTGCCAGAAGTTATATTACTGTAGCGGACGCGTATCAACAGTCACGCCTCTACAGACCACTCATACAACTACACTCAGACGGTAAAACAGACTAACAACACATAAAACAAAAGAGAACAATAGCTAATGGTAATATTACACGCTACACAACGCAACAACGCATCGCATTCACCACGTGTTCCCAAACTTATCTCAACTACTTATTGTACATATTTGATATAGTTTTATTAATAAAGTTTTCCTTTATACGTTAACCATTTTGTATATCTTTATCTCGTGGTATTGGTAAGAAAAGATACCACATTACTGAAATTATCGGTAAGTTCTTATGGTAAGTCTAAAGATAAATTACCATAGGATCTATAATTATAAAAAAAAAATCTCTAAAAGTACTTTACCGATTGTTTTGAAATTTTGACATAACGTTTCATTCGCATACAGGTATGTTTTTATTACATTAATTTAATTATAAAATAATTAATTAATTTTTTAAAAATAATTGTATCATACAGGTAAGTCCAGTGTCGTCTGTTGACCATAGATTTCGTTGAATGCGCGAAACATTCAAATATACAAAAACGTAATATATTCCAATAGCTAAATACTAACTTTTATTTATACCACAACGTCATATTTTGGCTCATGTCAGTCTGATATTTCAATATTTATGTTAAATTTTTAATTTCATTTAATTGAATATTTCTAATATTTAATTCTGTGTTACATTGTGTTGAAATTAGTCAGTTATTTAAGTCAGGTGCCGTTTATACATCTTTTCGTCTAATGAAAAATAAAAGTTTACACAAAGGGCAGGGAGGACGGAATTTGAGTTCATCTCCGAAGAGAAATGTGTAACCTTTTAGAAACTCTTGATTTCTCTTTTTTTTTTTTTTTTTATTTAATCGGACTATGGCCCAACAACGTAGGCCGTGCACACGTGGCGGGGCATATCTGGTATGCTTTTAATGAGCATTTTAAGCGATGACGACACATATTTCTTATGTATCTCCTGTGTGTATCTGTGTATATGTGTCTATCATCAGTTTACCATATACATTTCTTTCGTTTTTGTGTCGAGCGAAAGAAATTTAATATTTCTATATCGGGTAGACCATTTTAAAATAACTTCCAGAAAATTTTGATTTTTATTGAAAATTAGAAAAAAAGACAAAATTTTTATTCAAAGATGACGTTTAAGTGTCCTTTATAGTATATATATATATATAATGAATCTATTGATAGATATATGAATTATTATATTACCAAACTATCAAATAATTTTCATTAATTTTTAAAGATTAATATTATTCTCGAAAATCTGACAATCTGGTTAAATATTACATATTGCTTTTTTGTTATTCATATTGACTATTTTTAACCGTTTGAGTCCCAAACAGCGCGATCGCGCTGTTAAGATTTTATATCGAGATATGCCAGCATATTTTGTTCTCATTTAGAAAAAGCGTGATCACGCTGTTCACGAAAATTTCGATAGTGTTTGTAATAACTTTATTATATTCTTGTTTTTTTTCTAATAAAAAACATATTACTACGATAATTCTTTTTTAATTCTATCTATTCTAGATATTTCTTACGAAACAGTATTTATTCGTCCTTGAGTTACTTTACTATTAATTTGCATTAAGAAATTTCATTTCAAATAAACAATAACATAATTTTTTTTACATAATTATATCTTTCGTAACTATTATTAATTAGCATTGATAAAAAGAAAAACGGATAGCGGAGATAAAAGAAATTATTTACATAATTCAGGTTTATAAAATGCTTTTTTAATCGTATTTAAATTAATGTTAATTTTGTGCATTAATTATAAGTATTGAAATAATATATGATATAGCATAATTGTAGTTTTTTTTTGTTATAAATTAGTTTTATAAAGGACAAGCAATGAATCAATTAATTAATTATTTATGATGCAAATTAAAAATGAGATAAAGAATATTTGAATTTGAAAAAAAAAACAAAAAATTTATTGTATCACGTTCCGATCTATGCACGGAACTAGTATTTTTTTAGTAACTATGATCGATAATAAAAAAAAAAAAAATAAATAATAATTACTTCGTTTTCGATAATATAAATATACAATTGTAATGACCACTAAGTAGGCCGAGACGTAGATGGGTGGACAATATTAGGAGGAATCTTAAAAAAATAGGCTACGAAGACCACGAATGGAGAGGAGTCAAGCTTAGGAATGGGAACACTGGCGGGATTTGGTATTTACGGTAATAAACTTTTAAGTCCCTAATACCAATTAATAATAATAATAATAATAATAATAATAATAATAATAATAATAATAATTGTAATGTTTAAAATATAAATACAAAAGTAATATAAAATTTTGAATTTTTTACTTACAAAAAAAAAATATAAACAAAAATATTTGCTATTTATTAGTTTTCTCAGTCGATAAATTATTAAAAATAATGCATTTAGTTAACACTTGAAGGCACTACCTTCGATTTTTGTAACATTCGGTTAAGTTCGGCTAAATTCGTTTTAATTCGGGTCAAATGGCGATTCGAGAGTAGGCGGGGAGTATTATGGATATTAGGAGTATGTATCGGGCGGGGGCTCTATTGATTTAAAACTGTTAGTGCCGGTGCTCGTGTCAGTAATAAAGATTCGTACCGTTTACGAGTTAAGACGTGTAGAATCATCACGAAATAGTCCGAGGTTACTGATTAGATAAAAATTCACATTTTCGTGATTAACTAATCGAGCGGTTGCCTGTTATCTTCGACTGTTCGTTTCTTTGTATTTTCAGACAGGGAAAAAGAAACACGTTGTTCATTGACAACATGTCGAATGTAATTAATACAACTAATTCGACGATGAAAAAATCAAATAATAATTTCGAATCGAGTATACCAAAAAGCAGGTAAAATATATGTTTTATACGTATAAACTTACGTACGTGTATGTGTGCATATGTGTCATTTGTTTTTTTCTTTTTTCACGTATATAACATACACACAATTTTTTGTATTCTTTCATTCTCCTATATTTGAATAAATTTATTATAAACACAAAGACGTTCTGGCTAAAATCATAGAAAACTATTGTCCAATTTAGACTACATATAAAATTTTGTTTTTACAAATATGAATATTTTAACATTCTTTTT